GTTATGCAAGCCTGTTTCACGCGAATCGTAACCGATTGAATTTTTCCTCTCCGTAGCACCAACCTCGAATTCGCAAATTTCGGTTTCTGCCCCCCTGCAGTTCACAGAACGAAATCCGGCCCCCGCGCCCCCCAACATTGGTTTGGTTCCTCTCTAGAGAAACCCACCACCGCACGGTCCGTTATTTGATCTCGAGACCATGTTCCATGCTCTTGTCTGCGCAAATGAACGCTTCGCCATCAATAGAATAGCTGTCGTTATACATACCGGCGCCCACCGGATGGGCTTCTGCGCCGAAGCGCCCGGAAGCGCGTACGTCAGTGGATTTCCGCTCCCGACTTCCACCCGCTCTGCCCGTCTCAATATCAGAGCCACACGCTCTTCATGCCGGCAAGCAGAAGCGTCAATGGCACCGAGAATAGAAGCCAGCCGACAACCGGAAGAACCTAGAAGCACCAATGGTTCAAAGTGAAGTGGCGTACTCTCGACGGATACAAATTTGAGAAAAGAAACACAAAGTTATCGTCATCAAACAAATCATGACACATCACACAAGCCACACGCGTGTTCAAACACAAAAAAGGTCGTTTTCAAGCAACCTTTAGGTAGGTAAGGCGTTCATGAATCTGGTGAAAATAAAGCAATATCCGAGTGGTGCAGGTTAAAATTAAAAAAAAATGTTTATTATACGCATGATCGTTTGCAACGAGTGCATCGATGAGATTGCCGTAAACCTTTGAGAAAAAATGTAATTTAAACATTTACAGTATACATAGTTACTGCGATTCACGATTAAAACCGATTCGGGTCACTTGTATGCTCACTTGTATACAGTTTAAAATTGATTTATGTCCGTATCTTCTCTCCTCCACGGGATCACCTATAGTTCAGCCCGAGAAGCAGTATTCCGCTTCGATCTGCGTGCACAGGACTGAAATCACAGTGTCAACACCAGATTTGTGGTGGGCAAAAAGGATTCGCCCACTTCCTTTCATTCATTCATCTCTCACATTCATTCCATCATAAACACCAGCTATTTCTCACCTTAATGGCCATACGTGTAGGGTACTTGTGTCTTAGATAAGAAAAAGTATGAATCCGGGCAATATATTTGCAGAATTGGAGTTCGGGTGTTAATAATGGTACCTGACCGCACATTTTAGGCGAAAATCAAGATGCTTGGCTTTCGTGAAGGAAAAAGAGTATGTTTCGCGTGGGTTCAAAAACAGACACAAAATGATCTTGATAGTACAGTAAGTTCATAATTCATAAAAAGAGGTATTTCAAAAAAAGAGGTTAAATTATCCTAAGAAACATGAAACCTCAGATACCATTACTTACACACGAACGTTCTAATATTCATCACATTCTGCATTCATTCACAAAAAAATTAACATGCAATAACGTACAGTAACTTCACTTGCGTTCAGATAGTATTACACACCGTAAATACTGCCATTCAATTAGAAGTAAAATATCATTAAGCTTAATGTCCTACCAACTTAACAATCTCGGCCATTTCTGTTATCACACGAATTCTTAGTTATGTATTTACGTATTACATGTCTTTTTTTTTCACGAGAAAAGATAGCTTCACTTTTGTTAAATTCTTATAAAATAGTTAAATGAACTAGTTTTTTCTTTTTTCTTATTTTTATTCACACTAACTGGAACTAACTGGCGTATTCAATATAGGGCAAAATCACTTTTCCGGGCTACTGCACACAACGTCGTCAAGGTCGATTTTGCACGTCCGTTCCTGACCCAACGAGAAGCCTCTGCTTTTCCAGAGCTGCAGAAGGTTCTGGAAGCGAGCCAGCCAGCGGCGCCGCCGCCGGCCGCCAGCCGCCGGCCGCCAGCCGCGTCGCGCCGCAGAGCCTTTGGGCCGCGGCTGAGGCCCAGGCCCTCTGGGGAGGGAGGCCGCCCACTTCAACCGTGACGTTTTCCGTTTCGCACATTGCAGCGTCACGCCACTTCGCCAGTTCAACAGCTGACGCCCATGGCCGAACGGCTCAGCTGTGGGCGCTTCGCTACGGGAGGTTCTGGCGCTAGATTGTTTTAATGCTCAAATAAACTTGGAAAGAGAGAGGTAGAAGGCTACAAACATGCACTTGAAATTTTACATAAGTTCTAGACGTGCCTGCGAATTTTTCTAGTTACGTTACATATTTTATTTCTCTTTGCCCTAACAAGATGTACTCGATATACGTATTCGATCATGTATTTCACTTTCCGAGATCCGAGGGAAGTAGAAAAGTGTGTAGAAAGCTGTGTTTCCGGGTAATCCGCTATTCAAAATATTTTCTTAAAACTTACTTTAGAGTCGTAAATCCACTATGCGAGGATACCGGCATGATTTTTCTCCGAAAGAAGGCGGTAAACCCTTCTCCAAATCAGCGTCTTCTACCTGTACTCAACTACGTACTAGGTAGGAATTTGACAACCCCACGCTCTCTGACAATTGACCAAAGAATAGTGTCTGTGGATGTTGGGTCACAAAGTTGGCGGTGAAGAGTGATATTCTAATTCTGTTCACGTATGCCATGCGTTCTCGAGCAAGTTGGATCCTCTCACTGAATTAGTTCCCGTTATTCCCGCCGTAACTTCCTCGCTGCGTTGCACCAACATTCGATGACCTCCCCAGCGCAACTCGTGGGCAAGTTAGGAAATACAATTCGCGCGGGGCGAGAGGGGTGCGGGGTTGTCTCCCCCCCCCCCACTTTCACTCGCCGAGGCTTCGCGGCTTCTTGTGGACGGTCCGCTTCGACTCCAGAGCCCGCCTTTCTCCCCGGCACGTGCTCTGCGGCGGGACAATGCAGCAATAACTAGGCCGACGCGACGTGTCAACTCGGCGGCAACTCCAGCCAGTTTGTCCCGCTATGGGGACAACGCTGCACAAGTTGGTTCACAGAGGCAGCTGCATTCATCACAAGTATGATTATGTATAGCACCGACATTTCGAGGAAGTTACGATTAAAATTTAGTGAAAGCCATCACAACAATTTCATCAGGAAGCAGAATCATTGAATATTGATATTTTCTACATTTCCATATTGTAATTTCTATGGATATTCGGGACGCGGTTTTTGGCTGAAGGACTTTTGTCAAATCCAATAATACTTCACCTCCGCGACTTACAAGCGTAGTTTTTAAACCATGGAGACAGTTCTTTTTGCAATCTCAAGTATTTGTTCTGTGTGATTGTTGACAAGATGCACAAAAATAAAAATATGAAGGAGAGAAATTGAAGGAAATAACGGGAATGGATCAGGAATGAATGAATCCCTGTAGTGGATGTGCGACGTGACGCGTTCCCAGTTGCATTTAATATCTTTATTTTCTTAAAAGATTCAGATAACATCTATTATGAACTTCAAAGAAGTCTTTAACAAGGCGGGAGAAAGGTTCAACGAACAAGATTGAAAAGCTTTAAACGCTGCGGTGCTATACTGCTATGATTCCACGATTTTCTCTAATTATAACACTGAACTGCAACTTCACTCCTCTCATAAAGTGAGTGATTACATTTGTTAGAATTATGCAGAATAAAGAAGTAATGAATCGCTTGCATTGTCATTTTGGAACATCGGAAACATCTCAGATTGCGCTTTTCCCCACATGTAGCACACAGCTCTTAACTTGTTTTTTGTCGTTAAATAAAAGACTGCGTCAGCACCCGAGTTTCTGAGAATAAGGGACCAAGAATCACACTTCCGAAGATCACTTATTCCAGTCAATACATAATACGTAAGTAACAACTCGAATACAACGAAAAATGAAAAAACTCTTTGACAGTGCGTAGGTATTCTTGCGTTTGTTTCATTATCCCAGAACGAAGATTTGGACGGTATTACAAAAATCAAGATTATACTTTCACACAAATACGTGTTCAAAATCTTCCTTGAAATACGACTTAATGAGCACAACCCTTCTTCAAATTAAAGCAGCCTTCCATAACCAGCTCACAGAGCCGATGTCACGGTGAATTTCTAAACCGTCCATCACGCGTTTTACCAACCACACTGGCTCGGCACAATAGACTCGCTCAGCATTCTAGTGGCCGGTGTTTTTCATTGCCTCCAAAAAGTCCCAGCCCGGCGACGAGCGCGCTGCCCTCACAAAGAGGAGCATCTCAGCGTGGCCGCTGTGCGCCTCGGGCTGACGAGACGTGGCGTGGCGTGGCGTGGCGTG